GGAGGAGCTAGAAATAAATATATTAACGAAGAAATACTCCTGATGGACTGGCAAGTCATGGATAACTGCTCTGGAGAAAAATAACAGAGGAAAGGTGATGCCTGGTGAGGGTGGGCCTGCCTAAAAGGGGAATCAGGGCTTCTCTCTCTGAGGAGATAAAATTTGACCAGAAATTTGGCAAAACTGATAAAGAACGTCACATAAAGCTTTGGGGAAGAGCATTCCAGGAGGAGGGAACACGGCCTGGCCAAGGTCCTAGATGGGAATGAGCTTGCAGTCTGAGGAGCCATGAGAAGGTGGTGCGGTGGGGCATGGTGAGGGAGAGGAAGAGCAGACATGGGTTTGAACTGATGTCAACTGTTGTAGGGCCTTGTATGTGTCAGGATAAGCCAGCTGCTGTAACAACAAAAACAAGTTTCAGTGACACGACACAATAAAGGATCAATTTTTGCTTGTGGAGTAGTTCAGTTAGTGTTGTCACAAGATGGGTACAGGGGTTCTGTTTCACACACTAGGGGATCCAGGCATCTTCCATTGCGTGGCTCTGCCATCTCCTTGGGGTCCTCACTGGATGCCCATCCAGCTGGCATGTGGGGAAAGTGTGGAGAAGGCATGCTGCTCTCAACCACTTCAGCCTGGGGTAGCACATGTCACCTCCCCTCACACTCCATTGGCAAGAACAAGGGACAGGTCTCCACACCCACCATCACCCCCCCACGCAAAGAGGCTGAGAAATGCAGCACAGCAGGGAGCCTGGGACAGAGAGGAGAATGTAGAGTTTGGTGAGCACTGGCAGCATCTGCTGCAGGCCTTGGAGGCTTTGAGGAGGCACTTGGATGTTATTCTAGAAGTGATGAGAAACCGTTGGAAAGTGATGAGAAGCTGTTGAGATCAGAGGAGTGAAATTAATTGGTTGGTGTTTTAGTCTCCACTGGCTGCTGAAGAGGAGAGACTAGGAATGGTAGCTGGAGTAAAGCATCGCCCAATGTCGCTCAGCTAGTTCAGTGGTACAGTTGGAATTTGAACTTGGCCCATCTGGCTCTAGAGCCCTTGGGCTTCACCTCTGTGTCTGCTGCCTCCTAGAGTATAAGATACAGATGTCAGCTGTTACCTGGACAATTGCAGCAATCAGCCTTCCAAACCTATCTTTTGGCATCCTGGAGAGGACTGGGCATGGTAGGTAGAGGACAGGTGTATGAGTTCATTTTCACATTGCTATAAAGAAATATCCAAGACTGTGCAATTTATAAAGGAAAGAGGTTTAATTGACTCACAGTTCTACATGGCTGGGGAGGCCTTAGGAAACTTAAAATCATGGTGAAAGTTGAAGGGGAAGCACAGACCTTCATATGGCTGCAGGAGAGAGAAGAAAGCACAGGTAGGATGGACTGTCATATGCTTATAAAACCATCTGATCTCCTGAGAACTCACTGTCGTGAGAACAGCATGAGGGAACCCCCCCATGATCCAATTACCTCCCTCCCTTGAGGGATTATACGCCCCTCCCTTGACATATGGGGATTACAATTCAAGATGAAATTTGGGTGGGGACACAGTCTCACCATATCAACAGCTTTTCTTAAAGTTGGGCTTGGAGCCTAATTGAGGCTCAGCACTTAGCAAATACAGGACCTCTGTTACCTTGCTCAGCCTGGAGCAAGCTAAATGATGTCATCAGGGTGTCATGAGCATTAGATGAGACATTGCAGATGAAGTAGGCTGGGGTCATAGTGCCTCTGCACTGGAGTATCCAGAGGAGTATCCCAATCTAGTAGCCTTGGGAAGGAGGCCCCCAATCCCCAATGTTTGACTTTCCTTTTCCTTGTCCCTTTGGCTTAATGTTTTGCCTCCTGTTACCAGGCAAAGTCCCTAAAAGAGGCAGCACATTTCAAAGTCCCTGTCAATCCTGTAGGCAAATCACTTCAGTGAACCTTTCATAGAAGTCTGCTTGAATGAATCGAGGTGGAAAGAGAGATGTCAGCAAGAAGAAAAATGACCCTCAAATTAGAGCCAGAGATCCTCATTCTGCTTGGTAATTTTGCCTGCTCTCTCATCCAGAATTCTCTCATATTCCTTGAGTCCATTTGGGGAATGAGATGTTGACCAAATTCTGGCCTCTCTGAGCACCTAATTGTGCCTCTAAGCCTAGGGCCTGGCCAATGTGCAGGGCTTAGAGGGAGACTTGGCACTGACATTTGAATTTCTGAGGCTCAAAACCTGGAGTTTTTCTGATGCATAATATTTACAATGATTCAAAGGAGGAAAGCTTCAAAGAGATTATTAAAAGCTCTGCCCTAAACCTGTTCCTGGCTGAGCACATTTTGACAAGTTGCATAGTGATGGAATGAAGAGCTCTGGATGAATAAAAAGGGAAGCTGACAAGTTTGCACGGAAGATAAAGCCCAAGGGCACAGATCTGGGGCAGCAGGCTGTCTGCTGGAGGTGTTTAGTCACCATGTTAGGGAGCTGGAGCTAGAGAAGCTGGGGAGGGTCAGCCAGGAGTCCTGAAAAACACCTGCCAGAATATCCCCTGAGAATATGCAGTGCCAACAGCTGATATCTGGCAGGTAAGTGTGGAGAGAAGGAGCAAGAGACAGGGAAGGACAAGAGAGGAAAAGGGAAAGATTACGAAAAGGAATTAAAGAAGACATGAAAGGCAGTGAGATTTCAGAGTCCACTGGCCACCCTGAGAAGCCCTCCCACTGTACAACATGTAGAAATGCTGGATAAAATATAACAAACACCTTTCCAATGAAGTGCTAAACTCACAGGAAAATGGCAGTAATCTTCAGGGGTCCCAAATGAGGAGAGAACAGGAAATAAGAATGCTAAGATGACACTGAGTGTGAAAGTTTCCCTCGAGGCATTAGCTCAGCTCCTTCACAGAGTCTTGAGTTTTAAAGTCCATGTGGGGACTCAAGCAATGTGAGACGTTGAAAATAAGACCATAGCATAAAATCTAGATCTTGAAGCATTACATTTGGAGTGAAAAGTAGACTGATCAGCAAAGAGGGACTGAAGGAAATATGTCTGTCTTGATCTGGACTCTGAGTTGAAAAAAGCCAGCCTTCCCTGAGAATTTGGAATCATAGGCTCTTGTCCTCTGAGGGTTGCGATTTAAAAGTACACTGCATATGTGATTTGGAAAACTCCAAATCTAGAAATTTACTTAAAGTGGGATCAGGTTGGTAGCACCCGGGAGTGCTAATGTTAATCCTCTTGGAAGCTGACTTTTTTTTGAGACAGAATCTTGCTCTGTCACCCAGGCTGGAGTGCACTGGCATGATCTTGGCTCACTGCAACCTCCTTCTCCCAGGCTCAAGTAATCCTTCTGCCTCAACCTCCCAAGTCACTGGGACTACAGGTATGTGCCACCACTCCCAGCTAATTTTCTTTTTTCTTTTTGGTAGACATGGGGTTTCGCCATATTGCCCAGGTTGGTCTCAAACTCCTGACCTCAAGTGATCTGCCTGCCTTGGCCTCCCAAAATCCTGGGATTACAGGCATGAGCCGTTACACCTAGCCCTAAAGCTAACACTTTAAACTCAGACTTCACAGGATTCTCACAGAGAGGAAAGACTAGGTGAACATGAGCTCACAACCTACAATTATAAGGTACACAATAAAATAAACCACCTTGAGTGAAAAGTCAGCAGATAAAACAAGCAGCAGAATTAGACCCTCAGAGGACCTCAGCTATTGGAATTATCACATTCAGATTATAAAACAAATATGCTTAAATTAAAGAAAAATACTTGAAAATATAAAAAATGCTTGCCAAACATTATTCTGCTTTAGCATCACAAAAATTCTTTGGGGTTTGCAGGTGAAATTGCATTTGCTCAATTTTTTCAGTGAAGAGATACTCAGAGCAGAAGCAAGGAGACCTACTCAAGACCACATAATTAGTAACTGCCAGAACCAGAACATGAAGTCTAAGTGTCCTATGTGCAAAATCAATGCTTGCTTCTTGTTTTATCTTCCACCTGTTTTTCAAATACATGCTCAAGGGCTAGCATAGGAAAAGTGGGCAGGAATGTACACCATTGTTCTTATCCATGACCAGTCTGGTGTGCCCTGACCCCTGGAACTTGGAAACTCCATTCTGTTTATCTTAGGAGTTCTTTACTAGATGAGGGAAGAGGTGAAAGAGTGAGAGTAAGGATTATGTTGAGGGAAATAAAGAAGGAGGGGCAAGAAGAGCAAGGAAGAGGGAGAGATGGTAAAAAGTGGAGAGATGCTGCTAAAAAGGCATTATCACAAGAGGGGACCGGCAGGGGAAAATACAAACTTTTGGGTTGACATATTTTTCAAAGCTACAGAGACTGCTGGTGACCTATCAAATTATATATTCTCTTTCTTCCTCAGTAATAAAGTTGGATTTGAGTATGTGAGAACCTGGCTAAGAATTACATTAACCAGCCTCCATAACAGTTAAATGGGACCACAGGTCTAAGTTCTCACTAGTAGAATGTGAGCAAAGTGGGGGCTCACTTCCAGGCTGGAACCCTGGCCTGAATATTCATGTCTTGCCAGAATTCTGTAGATACCTAATCCCCAAAGCAATATTATTAAGAGGTGGGGACTTTGGAACACGATTAGGTGATGAAAGCTCCACCTTTTATAAGGAATTAGTGCCCATATAAAAGAGGCCTAAGGGAGCTTTTTCACTTCTTCCACTATTCCACCATGCAAACACAGCAAGAAGGTGCCATCTATGGGGCAGAGAGTGAGACCTTACCAGACACTGAATCTGCTGCCACCTTGCTCTTGAGCTTCCCAACTTCCAGAACTGTGAGCAATAAATTTCTGTTGTTTATAAGCTACCCAGTCTAAGGTATTTTTGTACAGCAGCATGAATGGACTACGACAAGCCCTAAGACAGCGGATATGACTCCATGGACACCTAGACTAGGGGTCAACAGAGCCACACCACAGAAAGAATCTGGCTTCCTGTACTTCTGTGTGAGCAAAGTCACCCACTGACTCAGAATATTCACCTGGTTTGAGGAGAGAGAATTCAATTTCTATCTTCTGGGTTTTTGTTGGGTGGGTTTGTGACAGCAGCTTGTCTTATACTAATTGATACACCAAGGAAAATCCCCAGCTGATCACTGCTGTGCACAGCTGAGAGGGAGTCAGATGTGAAGCTCTGCAACATGCTAGCATGAACCAAAATCTATGCTGGATGAGGAGTCTGTCACAGGTGATGTAATAGAAGTGTCATTGTCACCTGTGTTATACTGCTGCAGGGGTCACAGTTTTCTTAGTTTGGGTTTTCTCCTTTTTATTTTTTTATTAAACAGGGTTTCACTCAGTTGCCAGTCTGAGTCTCCTGACCTTGTGATTCACCCACCTTGGCCTCCCAAAGTGCTAGGATTACAGGCGCGACACTGTGATCAGCCCTAATTTTAAATTTGTTGTAGAGATGGGGTCTCCCTGTGTTGCCCAGGCTGGTCTCAAACTCTTGGGCTCAAGTGATCCTTCTGCCTTGGCCTCCCAAAGGGCTGGGACTATAGGTGTGAGCCACCATGCCCGGCTGGTTTTTCTTGATTTTTTTTTTAACACAATTTTAACACATATAGAACTTAGACTTATATTTTATGACTTACATCACAGATTTCATGTACTTTTGACCATTCTTATGTTTCTAACTGTTGTGAAGTGTTGTATTTTTCCCTCTGAGGCACTTTGAGGGCAAATGTTTTTACTGGGGGCTCCCCTGCTACAGGAGCGGATGGAGGGCAGCACTGGGGCAGGAAGAGCCCAGCTGGGCCAGCCTAGCGGTGAGGAGTGTTTTGCTCTCCCAGCAGCTTCCATCTCTGCACAGTCTCCCCCTGCTGGATGATGGCCTCAGGCTGGGTCCCTGGGAGACTCTCCGAAGCTACCTTCCTTCTAAAGGTGAGCTGTGTGTGAAGTGCCAGGAGAGTAGACAGTCCCACCCCACAATGACCTGCTGAGCAGAAGGCACAAAAGTGGCCCCCTGGGGAGGCCTGAGAGTCCTTCATACAAATCACGCCAAGTCCATCAGTGGGAAAGGACTTTGAGGTCCTCACCCATCCCCACTGTGGTGCTGGGGACAGTGTCAAGGGCCTTATAGCCCTTTCACAAAATCAGAGCAAGTCAGAGCTGGAAGGGCCATCAGACACTCCTCAATGCAACCTTCTTCATCACAGAATGGGAAACTGAGGCCAAGGGCGGGTTGCGGGGAAGGAACTTCCAGATGGAGCTTAAGTCTCAGGTCCCCGGCAAGAACATTTTCTGCTAAAGCTGGCCAGCTCCCTACAGAGCTGTATAGGCAGCTTCATTTCCACAGCCCACTTTGCATCAAAAAAGCAAACCACAAACATTTCATCTACTCTAATTGAAAATAAACACAGGCCTCAAGATGCTGGCCCCTGAGCTAATAAAAAGCAAGGTTTCCTGACTCTCTGGAAGGAGAATGACCTCCACCCCCTGTGGGATGCTGAATGTACCCTGTGGTACACAGGAGGAGGCCCTGACTAGGTGACAGACCTATGGCTAGAAGCCAGTGACCTGGATTCTGGTGTTAAATAAAATGTACGGGAGGGCATTGATTTGGACTAAGCTCCTGCATTATGCCCTAAAAAAACAACCCAAAATGGAGTCACTCGTGCTAGGGTTACATGACCAAACCAAACCTAAGTTGTTTACTTATAAGAGCTGACCTTCCCAGAAATCGGGAGAAAGATGGTAGCTAAATTCCCAAATGGGCCAGTTTTAGTTGGCTGGAGAAGAAAGTCTCCTCTGCATTAGCCCTTACAAGGAAAGTAACCTGAAGTACCTAATGTTAGCCAACTTCTTTTTTGTACTATGCTGTTTTCTTGTTCCTCTTTAAGTTACCATACAAAACCAGCTGTCCTTGGCCAGGTGCAATAGCGCATGCCTATAATCCCAGCATTTTGGGAAGCCAAGGTGGGAAGATTGCTTGAGGCCAGGAGTTTGAGACCAGGCTGGGTAATATAGTGAGACCCTGTCTCTACAAAGGAAAAAAAAATTTAAATTGGCTGGGAGTGGTGGTGTGCGCCCATAGTCCCAGCTACTCAGGAGGCTGAGGTGGGAGGATCGCTTGAGCCCAGGAGTTTGAGGCTGCTATAGTGAGCCATAGTAGTGTCACTGCACTTCAGCCTGGGTGACAGAGTGAAACCCTGTCTCAAAACAACAACAACACACACAAAAAAAAAACCTCAACCAACCGTTCTGCCAATACAGTGGGGCACCTTTTTCCAGAAGGAATGCTGCCTGATTCATGAATCCCTAATCAAAGCCAATTAGATGCCGGTGTTGTGGGCTTTATTATTAAACTCAATGTGTTGAAACTTTGTTCTTTGACACTGGTCACATGTATAACTTCATGTGGCTGTGGGAACCTCGTGTGCCCTTTCTGAGCTTTGATATTTCAGGTAGAAATTTCAGAGGGAGTTAGATCTGGCAATATTCCATAATTCTAATTGCAGAGGAAGGAAACCTTTTTAGGTCAGCAGGCAGGCAAGCAGGACCCTGTTTCCCGGCCAGCCCAGCCCAGATGGGAGCAGAGAGAAGAGTCAGCTTGAGGGTAGGCACAGGGAAGAGATCATCCCAGCCACCGTGTACAGGGGGTCTGAAGGTGGGCACTGCAGCACGGAAAAACTGTGGCACAGGGTCAGTTAGCAGTGAACGTGGGCCTGCTGGGGCTGGGAGTGTCTTCTCACAGGGGTATCTTCCTGGTGTGAGAACTCACTTGCCAGGGGCTCTAGTTGGAAGCAAGCGAAGCTCTTGACAGAGAGAGAACCCCAGGCTCATTTTTGCCACGCACCCATTTTCTTCATCCACCCTTTCCTGCAACCCTGACAAGGCTGACCGTGGTCCAAGCTCAGGCTCCTGCGGCCCTTACTTCCCTCCGCAGTGCCAGCCACCTCCCCTATCCTGGGCCTTACCTGACCCTGTGCTAGCAGTTTGCAGGACTGAGCTCCCTGCCACTTTCATTGGTCTGGAGAATTACAACTCCTAATGAAACAGAGCTACAACACCCCCGTGCAAGAATATGCTTCTGTTGTAGGCCAGGATGTAAAACTGCTTCATACACCCTCAAAATTCGGCTTCCGACTCCTCTCCATGCACAGCAGTCCATTCAAAACCCCACACTGCAGTTGCCTGGGAGGTAGGGGCCCATTGTAACCACTAGGAACATGAGATTGCACCTCTAACGGCCAGCCTGAGAGGACAGTTGGAGTTTCTGGCTTTGATTCCATTTCTGTCTTCCACTCAGCCAGGGTAGCTTGCTGACTGAAGTCCTGTGGGCATGACTCAGAGGCAGACTGCCTCTCTCTAACTACATCTTTCATCAATTCCAGGCACCCCTGACCTGCCGAGGCTCAAGCCTTCCAGCTGGCCTCCACCTCCTCTCTCACCCACCATTTTCCAGTCTCTGCAAGGAACCCTCCCTGCAGCCTTGATTTCTGATGCTTCATCTCACGCTGTCTCTCCTCCTCCAGAAAGTGTTTTCAGTCCCTTCTGCCAGGAAGCCTCTTTGCTTCAAAATTCTCTTCCACCTCTCCTTTTCCTCTCTGCCCTTCCCACCTCTTCTTCTTTCAGGAAGCCCTCCTTGAATAAGCAGGAGAGAAAGGAGAATGTTCCTGAGCCACCTGTAACTGTCCAGCACCACGTCATCATTTCTGTGGGACTTTGCATGCCAGGACCAGAGGAGGCAGGTGACATCCCCTGCTCACCCACACCACCCGCTCTACAGACTTTTCCTTTTTGGAATTAGTTGAGCTCATTCTACAGTTTATAGAGAAAAATAGCGAAGCAAGAATAGGCATATTCTAAAAAAGAATAGTGAGGGGGCCCAGACCTACCAGATATTTAAAATAGTATAAAGCACTGGCAATTAAAACAACATGAGTAGACAGATCAATGGAACAGAAAAAAAAAAAAAAAAAGAATGTATGGAATGAAAACAGAAAGAAACACCCGTCTGGGATGCGGTAAAGATTGTGTTTCAATTCACTGGGGATGCGATGGATTATGTCTTAAATAAATTGAACTGGGTAGTCATCTGAAAAACAAAGTTGCTCTAAAAAAAGTCTCTCTTTACCCAAAAAGTAGAGCAAATGCAATCTCATTTGCATGCCCCAAAGAGTTTTTATGGGGCTGAATTTGGTAACTAATTGGCATTGAAGAAAAAATACTCAAAAACATGAAAAGCATTTGCCCAAATATTGTACCTTATCAAAATCTCAGATGTTTTAAAGTTTTAAATATATAAATGAGTCATAAAAATACTATTAAGAGATTTTAGAAATTAAATGGAGATGAAAAGACATTTTAAAATATTGTACAAAGCCTAGAAGGCATAAAGAAAAAGTTGACAAACCTGACTAGGTAAAAGTCAAGATTTCCTCCAGGGAAAAAATATCATAAGCAAACAACAAACTGGCATCTCTTAGCACAGGGAAAGGTTTGTTTTTTTATATATATATAAAGCTTCCTCCAGAGCCATAAGAACAGTTCACAGTGGGGTGTGGTGGCTGAGCCTGCAATCCTAGCACTTTGAGAGGCCAAGATGGGTGGATTGCCTGAGCCCAGGAGTTTGAGACCAGCCTGGGCAACATGGCAAAACCCCATCTCTACAAAAAACACAAGAATTAGCCAAGTGTGGTAGCACTACTTGTAGTCCCAGCTACTCAGGCGGCTGAGGTGGGAGGGTTGCTTGACCCTGGGAAGCAGAGGTTGTAGTGAGCTGAATGCATTCCAGCCTGGGCAACAGAGTGAGATCCTGTCTAAAACAAAAACAAAAACAAAAAAACTTCGCAAGAGCCCTTAAGAAGAGTTCATTAAGAAGAACTAGTGGTTTTTAAATGGATGAAAAAACATTCAACCTCATTCATAAAAGAAATGCAAAAAATGCAAATTGCGCTGCAAGGAGAGTGTGTTTTTTCACCTATTAAATCAGTGAAGTAACATATTCTCATACATTGCTGGTGAGAGTGTTAATTAGTACAGTCTCTGAAGAAGGTAAGTCAGCTCTATCAAAATTAAAAATGTATATGCCCTCTGACCCAGAAATTCTCCTCCTAATTATTTATCCCACAGATTAAATGTAAAAGGGTGTACATGCAGGGCTGTTGTATTGAAGCGTCTCTTG